TGACAATTACAACTCGACTTTTATTTATAAACGTCGAACTGACACTGACACTAAAAACTTTTTAAAACAGAGAAGCTGATAAATTACTGAAGCGCTCTAGTAGCAGTCTTCTTCCAGTTCCTTCGGTCACGTTTACGTCTATTCTTCGAACAAAGTAACCAATGATTTTATTATGGTTTTATTGAATGCGACTGTTGATCAATTTTTTTTTTCAGTGCTTGTCTTATCAATCATAACTGCTCATTCCAGCCGGTTTTAAAAAACGCTAAAGATTTTCGTAACAACAAAAGGCGATGGATTTCATGTGTATATAGGATAATAATGCTATAGTGGCTAGAATGTCACGTTGTACACTCTGTAAATAATAAAATAATAATATAAAAATGTATATGTTATCTCCGTAAAAAAAATAAATGTGCCATTTATTTTGAGACCTCATTCTACTACACAATTGTGTTCAGAAAATTGATGTTTCGACAGCTGATGTTTTCTAAATATCCTTATTATTAAATCTAGAAGAATTTAGAGTGAACGATAAACAAACGAACAAACGCTTCTATAAATTAACGAAAACTCTGGAACAAAGTCCTAGATATGGCCAATAAAATGGCATCACCTTATTCATAGACCCTTTAACCACTACAGAATAAAAAATTCTTGACAAAATTTCAGTGTTATTTTTGTAAGAATGTAATTATAGAAACGATAATTAGAGTGACATGGGAAGGGTTCTCCCACAATTATTGACCCTTTATCATACGCACTGAAGATAAAAAATACGCCGTCAGTGGCTACCTACCCATTTAGTTATCTCCAATTAGAGTACTAACTACTTTTCTCTCAGGACCCTAACCAAAGTAAGTTCGACCACTTTGTATCTTTCCACTTTCGGTCTGCTTCCATTTATCTTCGGAAAGAGTTAGACTCCAGGGAACACCTCATGCCAGCAAAGCTTTGGCGTAACTGAAGGAACTGTCACTGTACAGGTGATGACCGCACTTGCTCAACAGGCGGGCCCGATATTAATCCCACGAAACAGCCGAACTCGTAATAAATCTAGTCGCGAACTGCTGATTCACCTACCATTAATCATGACTAAAGCTGAGAGAACGAAGAGACTTCTTTTATTGGGGTTGCTTTGTGCGGCTGCTGCATCTGTTGTTTCAGATTTCTGTTTTAATTACTAATGTGATCTCCATTAACTAACAGATAGTGGTAAAATACAGCAGCAAAAATATCTGAAATATCCCAACACAATCGATTTTTGTGTTCATTTATAAATGTGAACCAGTTGTGAGAAATACGTAACGTAGGTACATCCAAAACAGTAAACTTATAAAACCGAGTAAACGTATAATGTAACTAATAAATAAACATTTATTTAAAGTTATTTATATGCATGCGGATTATTAAAGCAAAAGGATGTCAGATTATAGCAAAACTATTTCCACAATAAAACGTAATTTTATTTTTTTTAACAATAAATTGAATTTTCCTTAGGCGTATTTTGCGAAAATACAAACTAAACAATGAAGAACCATTTAAAATACGTAATATTAGATTTGTCTATGGGTTTATATTTTTGGCTATGGCCTCATACTTTGTTTAAAAAGAATAACCTCGTGATAATAATACACCTAATTGTTTATTAATTTTGTGAATGAATATTTTGACTGTAACATATACACAAAAGTGTAAATGACTTTCAGCAAAACAGATAAAATTTGGAGATGTGTAACATTTGCAAATTTAAAACCCTTTAGTGTGACTCCTCTTAATGAATATGACTTCCCGTCAGTTTTAAATGCTCAGTAGTAATGAAAATATAATAATTTTTTCTTTTCTTTAATTCTTTGTCCAACGTTAGCATTTATGCAAGTGTTTTTTTGAAACAAAAATTATATGTTATTTAATGACATGTATTATCCTAAAACACGTGAATAACATCAAGTTTGAGAGCATTAAAGCAAGCATTCTTTAATTTGCTTGCTACTTAAGTGAAAAAAAAAAAATATTTAGGTGAGCAATTTAGGACACTATTTCTCCTTAACATGTCTCATTATTTCAAATATATATTTTATTCGTGTTGTGAATTATGTACATACTTTATTCCACAAGAGTATTCCCAATTTCTGTCTGCCACTTTGCACTGACATTTTTTTATGATTCACAAAAAAATTAAATATTCGCACATTTGCAGTAACCTTAAATTAATGATTGTATCAATATAACTAAATACTTTAAATTCAAATTTTCATATATGTATTGTTCTTACAATTAATCACAAAAAAATGTTCTATCTGACTAACCTTAAAGTATTTAGAGAAATCGGTATATATATTATAATACATTATAATATAATACTATTGGTAATGTGGTGTGCCAATTTGAAAAGTTAACTTTCTCACCGAGAAAAGAAAAACAACGTTGCGAAATTGCATTTAAAAAAAAGAAAATAACTCTAGGCATCACCTATGTTTTAGTGCTTTTGGGGGAAGAGCGAAACAGTACGTAGGGTTTTGTTTGTAATTTCACCAAAAAGCAGTTTTTTAAACAAAATTGATTCGCATTCGATACCACTGTGCCCATCAATGAGTGTAATTAAGATAAGGCCAGTTAACTAGAGATTTTCTAATTTGAAGTATTGTGAAACTTCCGTGAATTCGTCAACACGTGTTACGAGTATTTTTATTTTATTTTTGTAAATTCACAGTTTATGTTAAGATTTTACAGTTTATGGTTCTAATACAATTTAACTACGATAACGAAAACGTGTAAATGTTCCCGTAAAACACGTGTGGCAGGAAATTGACTTATTCAGGCTTAACATAGTTTAGTAACGAAATGTCTAGATTTTTTTTTAGTTAAGTTATTTAAAATTATTTTAAATATCGTTCGATTTTAAGAGAAAGGACCTTGAAAATTATCATCAATTAAATTAATTTAATTGTGGGCTCGGCTTCGAATACGAGTGGGATCTAATATTCTCTTAAAAGTTTAAATCATTTCTAACAGCTTGAATTTGAATATTTATTCTCGAAGTACACCGATACTACTTTATTTGATTTTTATTGTATTGAATAGGAGTTTATTGTGTTTATTTCAAATATCCTGTGTTTTATATGAACTGGAAATTCATTCGTTCTCCGATGTGATTTTTGTGAACCGAATTTGAGTTAATCAGTAACTTCAATTAATGCATAATTAGTAATAAATTACATAATTTAACATCATGTAAATTATTTTTACTTGAAATTCTTGATAGCGTGGTATAAATAAATTTTGCTTATTTCCTTTGTTGTAACTATAATACACATTTTGCATCGTCAAAATTAAGGAGATTTTAACTTCAATCGAAATAACCGAGAGTTTTTTCCTTATTGTCATTGTTCATGTGAATGTTTATTTACAATACCAGATTTTCAGTGAATCTGGCCGTCTAGCTGGCTGCATCCTTTGTGGGGATGATAAGTCTCAAGACTGCGAGTGTTAATCGTACGTCGCGTACGTAGCTATAGTTAGCGTCCGTTGTAGTTGAATGTTCATATTTAAATTTGCCGCCACAGCATCGTATTAACTTGCGTATTACAATTCAGTTACTTTAATAACGCCTTCTTTTTTTTGTGTGTTTAAATTTATTATATTCAAGTGTTTGTAACAATTTGGTGTCATTTTTGAATATCTGGGAAATAAGCCCTACAGATTTTCACTAACGATACCTACTTCTTTTGTGCTAGTATAATATATATAGTGTGTGTAATAGTACACGTTCAGCCTTCGCGTGATATGGTTTCGTTTTTGTCTTTTTGTTTGTCACTATACATCTACTGCAACTTAAGAAAAGAGAAGTTTCGACATCGTCAATATTCATTCGAAAATTATTGCGATAAGAAGGTGATGATTTTTTATGAAGTCCTAGTCCTGAGGGATTCTTTATTTTTAGGAGTGAAATTTATAAAGAACTGCATTGGATACTAGCTTTTCCTCGGAAGTGTTTTAAGTAAATATGTGGGTCCCTTAACACACATCCTTTACCGCCATAAATATGAGAGAATAATGTATAATGTTATTGGTATAGTTTCAGCTTTGTCACTGTCCTTGTTTTGTTTTTCAGAGTCTCGACATATCTAGGTAACATTCTACATAGTATAACCACTAACTATTTATATTTCTTGTTTATATTACGCTGAAAATAGTAATTGAAATCGCGTTGGACATCGTCGAAGCACAACATTTGTTCACCGGGTGGTCGTCAAATCTAATAATTTTTGTTCTCGCTAGATGCATTTGGGAGAAAATCAAAACTTTCAATTTTGATTTCGAAATCGCACATTAAAATTTTTGCATGGAGATCTCAACTGCTGATGCTACCAAAAAGTAGCTACAAAATATTTTGAAATGGGGTATATTTACTGTTAAATACAATACGTACTAATATTAAATTAAATGAATAACTAACATTTCGAATATCAGAAATTACTCACTGCCAATTTTCTAAAAAAATTTTAGAATTCATATCAAAAATCTCTGTTGGTAAAAACGCAATTCGTAGCATAACATACCATAAATAGCTAGTTTACGTTCGTAATTGTTAGAAAATAACCATCTTAAAATTTTTGTCATTGATATTTTCTTCTCTTTTGCAGCGAATGTAAAATTAAAACTGCTCATAATGTGGCATGCGGACGTAACCACAATGTCAAAATAAACCTCTTAAGAAATAAAGAGAAACGATGAAGCCCCATCATCAAACATCCCCAACCCGTCCGTGATTCAATAAACTTTATGGAAAAGAATCAATTGAATAAATCTGCTGGCCATATCTATTTCAACGTGTCATCAAAAAGCGCACGTGTGGCGCAGAGCGGACAAGATGGAGACAAAATACAGACATAAAGCGGAATGAATCGGTCCCGAACAACACATTGTAGCAAGTGCCCCTGGCAAGGGCCGTAATATAAATGTAAATGCGTCCAAACCAAATATCGCAATGCTGTTACCTTTGCCATGTCCTGCGAGGTCAAGTCTGAAGTTATCCTGTCCCTTTTGTCCGTCGACCAGTTGCCCCAATCCTCGCGAAAGATGGCCACCTTCTTCCCTGCCGTCGTAAGTGCGATCGGTGAGGTCTAATTCTGGACCTCGATGGAGTCCCTGCGGCACATCATAGCTCAGCAGACCGTCTGCAACATGTCAGCGATATGACAACGGAAGCACCTGTGCCGCAAAGTTATTTATAATACCTATTAATCTCCGCAATTAATAATATTCGCGCCCGGCACAAATACCGTCATAATTAATCATAGTTAGAGTCTGTGTATTAAATCAACGGTAAAGAGAGAAAAATCATTTTTCGCGATGCAAACACAAATACAGGCTATTAATATTAATCTTTTAAAAATTTTGATTTATGGGGACGATAAGTGACATGTCTACACTGGTTTTACTTAACTTTTGTTATATACCTATAATAATCGACCTCTAATCAGTGCTGTCTTCAGAAAAAGGGCTGCCCGTCTACTTAAAAAACAGGTACAGACATCATTTCCAAACACGAAAAATAACTTCTATCAATGCCAAATTGTCGAACACTTTAGGAAGTAGAATTTTTACGGATCGGTTAATTTATCACATAATTGTTGTCTTTTTAATGACATCTTTTTTAGAGACACATTAAAAGCACTAAAAAATTTTGAATAATCAAATTAAACCAAGAATGCACATTATGGAAAACTATATAAAATATTAATTTAGCTTTTATTTAACACATTTTTGACATTCGAAAATGATAACTTTACTTTTGGATCCACTTTCCCAGGGAATATATAGGGTATTTTAGTTTGATTTACACCGGCCATTTACCTTAACTATGGCACACTAAAGTACTCAATTACATTTATTTTGATGTAGAAAATAGTCATAATAAAAATAACAATTATTCAGTGTTCCCGAAAGTGATTATACTGATTATCAACAACGTGTTACTTCACGAACGTAAGCTAAGGAACCAAAGCTAAACAAAATTTGTTTAATTATCGCCGCCAACAATTTGATGACACCCCCTCACCACCTAAATATTATAAATAATATACCTCTGTGTTCGTGGTTTATGAATCCGTCTTGTTTTTATTTAATAAAAATGTTTGCAATATTTTCCACGTAGTCGCTGTCTCGCTTATGCATGAAATACTTCGTGGCCAAGTGTTTAGGGAACGGATTATTGGACTTCCTCTGCCCGTGTGAGTCGAATTCCACCTTCATCAAAGGTTTTTTTTTACGCTGTGACTGCTATTATCCACATAATTTTATTGATGAAATCACGGATGATTCCCCCATTTTCTCAAAAATTTCAGAATATAGTAATGTTGCGCCGCTTATATTTAATAATAATAAAATAAAAATTACCCTAATAACAGTTGCTTACCCAAAATATTATTCAAAATGTTTTGTTCTATTGTAGTTTAATTATTAATTTTAGTCGCTTCCTCTGCTTTAAAGAGACAGCTTGGTACGTGCTTACTAATCGGACTCTTTCAATGTATAAAAATAACAATCGAAGTTAAGCATGTTCTGATAATATATTTTTCCCTTTGATTATCTGCTTTAAATAATACCTATAGGTATTATCATAAAAAATACATAAATTTCGCAAAATTATTTTTTTCATTTTTCAAAAAGCTATATTTGTTCAAATGTACTTCAGGGGCGAAGGAAGTTCTGCCTAAATAACCTTCGACCAATTTTGTTCAACTGGAGTGGTTCAGTGTATCTTTTGGAGTTTTTTCTATTCTTTACATTGATGTAATAAGGGGACATTTCCATGTGTAATTAATGACAGCAAAAATATGAACATATTAAAATATAGGAGTATTTTTATTAACCTCAAAAAATTTAAGTTTTGAGATTTTGCAACTACTCATTATAAATCTGAATCATCCAAATGTTCAAAAAAATGTTTGTAATCTCTTGAAATTTTTGCATAATTCTAACAATGACGCTTAGTCTGAAAAAAATCACTTTTCCTATCTTATCCCACAAATAAATTATTGTTGAATGCAAAGAACCATGAATTTTATATAGTCTTTAACTTTTAACACAACGCCAAAAATTATTATCAAACGCAAAAGTAACGTATTAATGTACCATATAGGCTTGGTTGAAAACTGCTTGTTCTCTTCAGATGTACAATTAAGCGAATAAAATTTACAAAAAAAAATGTCCGTGTCAAAAAAAGTCAGTTCCATTTTTATTTATTTCTTTAAACCTGATTTCTCTTAAGGAACAAATCACAATAAACAATATCACATGGATAATAATAATAATAATTAATAACATATTCTTTTGGAGTCATTAAATGGTCCAAAACTGATCTTGAAAATTTAAACATCGCAACAAGGAAAATCTTCACACAGTATAGAAGGCATCATCCAAAATCGTCGATTGAAAGATTCTCATTACCAAGACAGAATGGAGGAAGGGGTTTCCAGAACCTAGAAAACTTATATCAGAGACAAATCTCAGATTTGAAGAAGTATTTCTTGAAACGAGCGGAAAGAAATGAAATGTTTCGCACCATCACAAGAGCAGATTTGAACCACACACCCTTAAATCTGTCGAACACCGAAGAAATCCACACCCCCCACACAATAGACAAAATAATAAGTGGGCTAAAACAAAAACAACTACATGGAAAATTCTACAAAGACTTAGAAGAAACTCATGTCAATAAGAAGATGTCATTGATTTGGTTAAAAAAATCAAGTTTGTATGCCGAAACAGAAGGATTTGTGTTTGCTATTCAAGACCAAGTAATCAATACCAAGAATTACAGAAAATACATCATCAAAGATTCGAACATAAGAAACGACTGCTGTCTCCTCTGCAAAGCAAAACCTGAAACGATCCAGCACATAATCTCTTCCTGCAGCATCCTAGCACAAACTGAGTACAAAGCTAGACATGACAACGCCACCAAAATCATCCACAAAGAATTAGCAACACTTATGAACTTAATCAAAGATACGACACCCTATTACACTTACATTTCATCTCCGTTCCTTGAAAATAACAAATACAAATTATACTGGGATCGCACAATACCTACTGACTTAAACATTGCAGCTAACAGACCAGACATCATACTTATCAAAAAACACACGAACGAAGCCATTCTCATTGACATTGCTATTCCTAACACAAACAAGATTATTCAAACATACCACACCAAGATTTCAAAATATCTACAGTTATCGATAGAAATGAAATCCATGTTGAATCTTAAAAAAATTTCAATTCTATCCCTAGTTATCTCTAATGTAGGTGTAGTTCCAAATAGCTTAGTTGAGAATTTAAAGTCTTTGCATTTGAATGATTCAATAATTGTCAAAATTCAAAAAGCTGTTTTGTTAGGAACATGTCATATTGTTCGTAAGTTTCTTGAACAGTCTGATCATGTCAGTCAGATTAGATTAGCACCAGTAGGTCAGAGTAGTGTAGGTAACTTTCCAAGTGATGCGCGGATAAATGGTCGGTAGTTACGCTAGACTTTTGGGGATGGGGTGAGATTAGAGAATAATAGCAGACTAATTTGTATGCTGTAATTCTAGAATCTCGAAAGTTGTTCTGTTAATCTAATCAATGCATATCATTACTTGGTCTTAGTACCCATAATGATAGAAGTCTTGCCTGAATGCCGGTCGTTTCCGGGTCAGTGGTGGGTCTTAATAATAATGAAAATGCTTTGTTATGTGTATTTCTGAATTTCTCACCACCAATCAGTTTTTCTCTGCAAAAAATTGTAAATATCGAATAATCGAATAATAAAGTAATATTTTAATATTTTTGCAGCTGTATAAATTCAATCCCCAAATGCCTAACGTAAAAAGTGGTGTCAGGAGCGGAGTTCCCAAGAAAAAGAACAAAGAGAAAATATTCAAGCCCTGCTTTCAACGTTAAGAGATTAAGAAGTAGCATCCTCGGAATAGGAAACATATTGAAAGTCCAAGAAATCTTGACAGTAATTGTGCTTCATAACAGGGATTAGACTCGACAGTAATGCTGATTTATTATTATATCTATTATTTAAAATAATAAAAACAATACGGAAATAATTTGCACCAGTTTGTCTGAAAATAATCTCATTGATCAGGAGTAGAAGTTTTCATCATCGGGAATAATAAGTTTCAATACACAACAAAATTGACACTTCTAATTCTAATTTCCGTTCATTGGATCCGTCGGTTTAGCGTGGGTTATGACAAAAATGTGACCTCTTATTGATTCAATTTTATTTAATTAGTATTGATTAAATGATCGCATTAATAATTCTAATCAATTTAAATGTTATTTCCCTAGTTTGGATCGAAAAATTTCATTTCACAAGCTTGATTTATCAGGCAGATTTCCGCTGATTTTCTCTAATTATTACGAAACACGTGTACAAAAAAAAACATATATGATCGCCCCAAATTATGCCATCTGCAGTGGAAATCCGTACTATTCTCCAGATACAACCCAGTCTATAATTATTAATTACCTCCACCGATGAAATTAACGCCAAATGCAAAATGTGTATCCATACTTTAAGCATAACTACAACATAAAACATCAGTGAAACAGCCCTTTGTGGTTCGTCAGCACTTTAGAGGCAATATTTGAACACAGTCGTCCAGCAAACAACGTTTTCATGCTTCCATAAAAATTTAACTGCCATTTATCCACAATAAAATATGTTTTACAAATACAAAAGCGTTAAGGTATGCTATATGCGGCCCTACAATCAAATGTTTTATGTGTTGACTTCATTCGTTTAAATAAAATTTGTTCCTCAGGTGGTTGTTTAAATTATTCATTATGTAACAACCATTGCCACAAATGTGTGAAGCACCGTACGTATGAAACAGTTATGCTAACATTAATGTTAACCCAAAACAATCGGTTCATTCTAGAAATATATATATGTTATAAAATTAGCAAGAAGCATGCTTTCGAGAAACCTCTACCGGACAAATTATTCCTGAAACTTCAGAGAGTAGATGAGTGGTCAACAACAGCCTTGTTACATTTGTTATTTATATACTTACATGTACTTATTTTTTCTTTACATTCTCATGTTTATGTCTATTATGTAAAAACGACTATTTTTATTCTTTACAACATCGACGAATTTACTCTAAAATTTTCAAGAAATTGAACAACATAAAATTTTGAAAGAATTCAGTTAGAACTATAAGTATTTTCGTTTTTTATTTTTCAATACTTAACGGTTTTTATACCAATTTTGATTATTTAAATGTAGACGACATCGTGTTATTCTAATTTTTAGTACAAAATTGCCGTTGTTTTGCAAATATCGAAGTCTTTTTTACATGGACATATTGACAGCGCATTGTTACACACACCTTTGTAATGTGATGTTACTGCCTTGCAAAAAATGATAGCCGTGATCGTAAAAATTAATTGTATTTACTTGGAACTGCATGAAGTTTCATTCAGTATATAGCCAAATAACCCAAGCTATTCAATTTTCCATCGATTCTAGCTAAATCGACAATATTGTTCGCAGCATTGTACCGCTCACTGCATATTGAGTGTAAACCTAAACAATGGTCGAGAATTAATTACAAGTAACCGTCGGTCCGTGGGCTATCCTATTAGTTTTCTGTTTTCGAATAACTCACAAGAGACACGGTTCTAGACGAAATACAAATTGTACACAGCTTTGTAAAAAAATTACACCAACTAGACTTTTCACGCTATTTACTATCACATGAATATATACTGTATTTACTCAAAAATTACAGGTACATAATATGTAAGCTCTCACAATAATGTTATATTGATACGGTTGTTGGTTACCCTTCCGAGTAACAAAACAGTAATGAAAAAAATTGTTCAAAGATTATTTACATAGAACCTCTCTCGCCTTTGAACTACGCTCTAATAAATCCCGCTTTGAAAAATTATAAAATTTGATTTTGCGAAATTTTATTTGTGATAATCTCTATAGTTTCAAAAAATATCTATAGATATGGTTGTAGCAGTGTACGAAGCAACAAGGCCCATGAGAGAATCGAACTCGAAACCTTCGCGTTACATGTGTGAAACCACCCACGATCATCACTACCCTGTTGAAAATTCCTGTGAGCTCTGCTTATATTAGTATAATAAGTTGGTTAGCATTTTACCATCTACACGCTATGCTTGAAATACATAAAATTTCACAACAATCAGTTCGGTTGTTTCAAAGGTTACCTGTCTAATTTATTAAAGTCGACACAGACAGACGGACGACAGGCAGACTGAAACGGGACACCTATTTTTTTGGTACTGTAAGCGTCATGAAACGTCGAGAAAACATGACAGTAGCCATTCGCCTATGACAAGAGGGTCCATCTTAGCTAACACTCGGGTAGTAAAAGTCTGTGAAGTTTTTTAGACCGAATGGTAGCATAGGAATAAATAAATTAAACAGAAGCAACAATAATAAAACAATTATAATGGGCGATCTAAACGGAAAGGTTGGGAACAAAAAATTGCTCCAAGGTTATTTCGACAGGACTTCCCTCGCCCTTGAAATGCGATGGAACATCCAGCTTTTTCGAAAAAAATATTTATAAACAAAATTTGATATTGCGAATTTTATTTTTTTATGAGAACTTTTATCAGTTAATATTAAGATGTGTACTAATATTCACGTAAACGTGAAGATTTATTCACCAGTTATCGTATCCCCACGTGAAAAATCATCAGTGAAGATTACTCCTTCAGACACGAAATTTTCGAGAGGGCAGAGAACTTCTATTCTATTCTTTCGCGTTTTAACTCAGGGTCAAACCGATGAACCAAAATTTCATCTACTCTGACAAATTTTTTCAAAAACTCATCTGGGTCTGCGTTAGTTATGACGAAATTGGTTTGAGCAGTCATCTGCCTGATGCGCTTGTGATCAGACAATACCATTTTTGGCACCCAACGTGCAGACACTTTTTGAGCCCCAATTCTGTGTGCAAAATGTTTTCCACGGTACCCAACGAAAACCCAGATTTTCCTGCTGCAATTCGCACTTTAATTTTCCTATCTTTAAGTACCATGTCATGGACTAAATCACAACAGAAAAAAAAATTAAAATGAAAAGTCACAGACAATAGTAGGTGAACCGTTGTCGTACAAGTATATGAAAAGGCAATAACACCAGTGGAACAGAGACCTAGACTTTGGTAGGTATAGACATGTGAAACAATAACACAATAGAACAAGTCTTGGAAAGTCAATACAAATTTAAATTAATTTTTTTAAGCTTTTGAAAAACTAGACAAAGTTTTTAGAAGTATTTTATGGAGTTATCGCTTCTGTGAACTTAAGAAATCAATTGCAAAACTGGACCAAATTTTTAAAACATTTATTATTAAACGGTAACTGAAAAAGCACACGACACGGTATAATTCAGAGCGTCATTAGTGTTGTGGAGAGCAGAATTAGGTATTCTTTAATTTATTATTTTCCATTTTCATTATAACTTTAATGTACATTTGAAATTGCACAGATTGTCCAACAAATCCCTAACAAACAAGTAGATCACAGAGGGATAGCAGGAAACTGAAAACTTGCATTCCATATTCATTGAGCACTAAAGCGCTTAAAAAACAAGAAACCAGACATCTGTAACAACCACCCTGTTAAGAAACTTTCGTCAGCCATCTCTCGAAATTAAAGAGACAGAAATACCCTAAATAAAAAAGAAAAAAAAAACAAAATACAGGTGTTCTTAGCGTATTGTTTCATTATTTGCATATCCGTCATGTTCTGCATAATACCTACACAGTCATTTCACTGACTAGGATATTTGTGCTTCCACAAAAATAAAGTTTTCGCTTTCCGAGTAACATTTCCATTATTACAGACAAAACGAAAAGTTACGTTATAATTATTGCTATTACCAAAACTACCTACCAGTTTAATCTCCACTGTTTGAATGTTTAAAGACGCTACCACAGTACCAACGAATTTAATTTCATATGTATAAAGTGAGCAAATTTTCGCAGTGGAAAGCTAAAGTGCTGACATGCAGTTTCGTATCGGCAAGTTAGAAACAATTGAAATTTACCACCGCCGTTACATTATTCCCTGCTTGTTCAGCAGAAGCCGCTATTACAAACAAAATAACATACTGCTGCTAGCCGTCATTATTAGAGAAGTTCGCACAGAAAGCCCAATTACAGATAAAACATCAACGATGTGTAGGAACCATGTTACCCGTAAAGCGACTTAAAATTATTTCATTCGTTAATTACCCCAGCGTGGTTTTGCTAATTGTGGTTCTCTGCGGCGCGTTTCTTTTTTCTGAATAACTGGATAAAACCTCGGTGAAATTATTTCGGCCATAAAATGTAGCGCGTCGTTGTTCGTAAATATTAAAAAAAAAGGTTACAAATGCAGATACAGTACTACTACTAACATTATTTGACCTTGTATTGAGGATATTTGGTTAATGTCAACAAACATTTAAGACTTACAAGATTTACACTGATGTTGAGAATTATGGCTACCTAGAATTATTGGCATGTATGTAAACTATAATGCAACATAATTTAAACATTTTCTGAAATGTTTAAAATGACGTTAAATGTTATACTCGGAAAACGACGCAAAACTAAGACCCAAGTTTCTTATTGTACACGTTTTCATGAGTTAAACCAGAAAAGAAGTATTTCAATGTTTTGCTTCACGACGGTTAATGGCTAGAAAGACTAATTCTAGAATTGTGAAACCAACTGTCTTCATATATGTAAACAATTAATTATAATTCATAACCATCACAAAACGGTTGCAATATTTATTTGTTTTCCACGCTCAAAACATTTACAGTAAAATTTAGAGCCTATGATAAAAACTCAGGGCGGATTCATAAACCACAAGTACAAGAGTATGTTAATTTATAAAATTTAAATTCTGTCTACTAAGCAAAATTTTCAGATGACATCGTGAAATTGCTAGTGGGGACAGTTCGATAACTTTTGACTAGCGTTATGAGGCTCGTAACATATTTTTAAAATTTGACAACCATTGGTCTAGCAATTCCTAATTTAGTAAATAGTTGCATTAATACACAGTTACTGCTCTTGAGGAGAAATCTAAAACAGCCAAATCAGCAATTTTTGTGGTAAAAGATCATATCTGGAATTAGGTTCAGTGTCGAAGTCAAAATAGATCTTACACTATAAGTTTGACTAAAAATACGCCAACGAAGCATTCACAATATAACTAACCTGTCCATTTGCAGCCAACAAGTTCGGTTCGCATGCAAACTGTACGCACGTGATCGCTGTATGGAAGGAAGCGAATTTTCGAGGCTATTACAGGAGGATCAAGCTTCTGATCTACGATCGTGAAAGTGTTTGTATTTCCAGGTAAAAGCTGAAACAATACAAAAATATATTTATATCTGTGGAAATTCACATTCATGTATAAAGTAATGAAATCAGACAGCGCAGTTTACCGTCAAGAAAACTTAGGACAATATTACAATCGATGGAATAAGGAACATACTAGATAATATCCTGCTTGACTTTGAGTAATTTAATACAATCTATGAAGCACATAATTTCTTGTTAAGATATTTCTGCATACATTTTTTATTTTTGCAGCAGCAGTCAATTTGATAAATGTCTAATATTACATTTCTTTGGCGTCCCAGATTTCGTAGATGCTTGAGAGAAATCAGTCCTAATTTTAGTGTTTTTTGAACAGTTAGCTTATTAAAACTATCACGAAGCACACACAAATCTACGTGTCGTCATTTTAAAAACGTGTTAGTTCTTTTGTCCATAAAGCCAACTAACTGTACAAAATGGTGCTGTCGTCTGATGCCCTTATTATATTAAAGATATTCTAATTCTAGGAAGAGTTCACCGTTCAAAAAAGCTATTCCCCATCTTGAAAAATCTTCCCAATGAACAAACGCAAACTTACGGATTCGTATCCCTGCTGAAACAAGAATTAAAAGCGATTTGATTTTAACTTTCAAATGTCACAACGACGTTATAAATCTAGCTGTCAACTTGTTGCTTAATAAGCCCATACTGCGTGGACATCCTCTTCTAACAACGCAATTGGTCCTATCAATCTGTATGTGTTTATTTTAGTTTTATTCGTTTATTCATATTGCGTTTTTGTAATATTTTTTTTTACTTTTAGAATTATGTTTAAAACACGAAGTGTGCTTAGTTAGGGCTTTATGTAGTACTACTAATAATATCATAATGAAAATGCATATTTTTTATGTTCGTCTGTCAGTGTGCAAATTTAATGAATCAGTGGTCCTGATTCTATAAGGTCCTTCAGGATTATCGTAAAATCACACAGTGAAATAAATGTTTTTTGCTCTACTTCTAAATACTTAACTCACAAAACTTTTGGTGAAACGCCCTTTCATAAGTCAGCGTTCATTTAAATGCTTCTGACCATGCAAATTCATAGTTACTCGATTAGAAAAACAGCAGGTTGATCTGAACGATACCAGCTAATTACACTCTTGAATATTATACAAAAGCACTACAAATATTAGGCAAATAAACTGTAAAGTGAAACAAGAAATAAAAACATTGATTAGTATATGCAAATTTAAACAAAAAAACGTAACTTTCATGGTTATTTTAACATTTAGATTAGAATCGGTTTCCACAAATCCTAGGTTTTTGTAATCGATGCAAAAAATTATTTGCAGTTTACATCCAATCTAAAGAAAACATTCTTTGGGAAAACTGTGGAAAAACTATATGCTTAAACATTCTTTCTTGAATTCCTGAATACAATGTTTCGTTATTTGTACATTTTTATTTTAATTTTTATTTCTTAAATAATTACGCAACATCGTCTACAAAAATGATCATTCAATGTATTGTTGTGAAGATTGGTAACTAAAACCGGGGTGAATAAAACTAAAAATTTATTTCTGAGTAATTCAAATTTACACTAACTAACTACACAGTGATTATATACAAAATAATTCCGGTGCAACTTGATTGGATTCTCTCGTTGATTGAATGAATCGTTGCCAAACGTGGCCTCTGTTTAAACCCATACGTTCCCTTGGAGATATTCCATATTCGAGGATTTTCTGGAATACCTATTGCGACTTCCGCTTCCAGGATTATTCTTAGCCCGGCCGCCGTCACCGACGATGAATCACCCATCACTGCTGTACATACTAGAAAGCCCTTAAAAACCCATAGGTATTGTACCGGGGTGGTGTAAGGGTTGATTTCGTAACAGTATACTTCACTACGTTATTCTTCTTCCGACCCAAATAGTTTTCCAGAAGTTACTAGCAAACCTTGTATTGTATATAAGTACAATTACAACGTAAGTTTCCCTAAAGATGAAAAGTTTATTATTTGTTTTTGTTTGTCATTACTAACAGAGTACTACAGCATTAACTAGATTAAATTAATAATGTCCACATTTTATTAAATAAAGTTAATTTGAAAGGGATTTAAATCGGAATTGTTAGCTGGCCAGTTCAAAAGAAGAATATCTACAGCATTCAGATAATCCATAGCAACTCTCCCTATGTGAGCACTAGCACGTACAGAAAATGGGGTCCACAAAGGGATCAAATGGCATAACATATTCAACTTTGACGTTTTATAGCCAATAATTTGCACTTACGGTTCTGCTACCAACGGGAACTAACTCTATGTGACCATTGAAAAAGATGTTCCGCCTTTCCCACACATTACCACACTGCTACCAGAAAATGGAATTTCTGGAAATCTCCAACAGTTGCTGGCAACTCCTGATCACGTCTTTCAGTCATCAACAGTCCAATCCTTATGGTCTCTAACAAAACGAACTCTTGCAAATTTTTGCACTCTGTAGTAACTGATGGTTTACTCCATTTAGAACAGTTACGAACTCATTTTGGAGCAAACTGCTTGTGAGTTTCTAAGAGCGGATTGCTTAATGAAAAGTTTCACCGTTGTCCTGGTCTTCACGAACAAGAACCTGTCTCATTCCTTCGGTCTAGCATGCGATTTATGACATTTGCAATATAACACACCGAGTATCGTTTCGCCAAGTTTCTTTCATGATTCATTTCTACTTCCCTAGCGTAAGCTAAGGACGTATTGTAATAGAGTTCATCTACTAAAAAGCTACTTTCATGTTTTCTCAACGTTTAATGATCCCTAGAGAGCGAAACAATAGGTCTCGTCTTCCATCTGTCTGTGCGAATTTTTTTTTCTTAAACAGAAAATATCCGAAACTACTAGACCGATTGTTGTCAAATTTTATATGTATGTTAGAAATACAATATAGATGGGAAAATGCTAACCAAAATTTGGATAATCATCTCCACCAATAATAGGATGACGTCATCTCCAATATTTGCAATAGTAAATCTTATTTAAATTATATAAAATTAGATACTCCTGTTTTGACTTATTTCACATCAGATCTTTTGTTTCATAAATCTTTGCGTAAGTTTTGTTTAGTAAATATTTTATTGATGAATGTTTCCACCGTATAAATTATTTGTTGTTTAAAATTTCACAAGATTGTATGGCGAACTTAAATATTGTTTACTGCTCTTTTGAAACTTTAATAGTCATTCAGTTGTTGTTAATACCAGAGTCATAAGAAATTGAACATTTAAAATGGAATTGAGGTTAAATAACACCGAAAACGTGGCAGAAGCGAAGTGCGATTCCTAGTGGAGCTAGCGCGATTTATCGCGTCACCTGCATAAGGCCGCAGGTTTGTATAGTCAGGGGCAGTCGCCGGTGTTGCAACGCTGTCAATTTGGCCCAATAGTCGAGACTCAACTGCGGATCGGCGATCGTAACGGCCTAATCTCGTCAGCATGTTCGTCATGAAGATGTGCTTGGCAGTAGGCTTGCGATAGATAGAATCACCGTCGTGGGGGGAGAACAGCCCCGACCGGTAGCCCCAAACTCCGCTTATGCTAGAACGCCCCAGGGGTATTTTTGTTGTGCTCCTGTTAACTGCCGTAAATTTAGCGGACGGTTTTTGTACTTGTTTGGTTTTCATATGTGTATCTCTGTCAATTCGCGAGTATCTTTTCTTTCATATTTTTAAGGTGTTTCATTTGAAATGTAATATGTCGGTGAATATACGATAGGGGTTTTTTGAGCTGAGGAGTGAATGCTCGCAACTCTTTTGCTCCTAGAGAAGGGGTACGAATTTTAGCCCCCTCCCAAAAATTTTGTCTATTATTTCTTGCGCTCTCGAATCAGACGCAGTGTATGCTCACTTGTATGAAAGAACGTCTTTCCGCCACTTTTCAAAAAAAAAAACACAACGTAGGTTTCCATTTTGTTAGACGATCACAGCCAAGGCCAAAATTTGAATTTTTGAATTTTTCGCGGGCCTTTCAAACTTTTTCAAAATCAATTTAAGGTGGGAAATTTGAGTTATCATAGTATTAAAAATCAGAATATTCAACATTAGGACGTTCGTTGTTTTATCATAAGTCTGTCTGTGCATTATTTATTCAAATTATCATTAAAAAAAAAATGTGTTAAATGTTCCTACCTTCAGTGCTTTGGTGGTCGCCATAATTTGATTTCGGTGATAAGAAATACGAATATTTTTGATCACAAATTGGAATTTTTGTTTACTTAAACTTAACTGAATATAATGACAAAGTGTATACATATTTTCTACAATCTTCGGCATTAATATTTAAATAGACTGATTACGTTTTGCAAAGTAAGTTCGTTCACAGATATTCTTAGACCTAGGAGTTTGTTGCAAACAACAATTACGCGAATTTAAACGCAGTGTCCACTTTTTAACAACACTGTGGAAAATTTGATATTGATATTTTACAGTCGAAACGTTGTAAAAGACCTGCAATAAATGATAAACAACTGAAATTGAAGCAAAATTTTCCGAAATTCTTGATATTATAATAATAATTAATCAAATACAAATTACATTTTTTGGTATAGAAAAATTTCACACTTTTGGTTTGAAAAAATTTCCATGTGAACTCCTAAATACGCAAGCACAACATATTATTTTTTTGTCATTTAGCTATTGGCGCATGTTTCGAATGTTAAAAGAAAGCAAAGTAACAGAAAAATACAAAAATGCATAAATATATTCTATTTAAAGACATTATTATTTGTATTGATAAACTTTATTAAAACAGTCTCTATCACTATTGAGCTTGATAGCTGTAAAAATCCTAAACGGGACGCGTTAATGATAGGTACCTGAGAAAGTGACAACATCATTTAAACACAGTTTATCAAAAGGTAAGTCTGATCATTGATTAAATACACCGTTATTAAAACGAAGTCTTTAAAAGGAACACTTTGGCACACAAACGCTCCCCTTAAGACGAACGACGGGTATCGATGTGGTCTGAATTCTCGCTCTGCATTTAACGC